CCCCTCCCCCCTCAAAATTCTTAGAAGAACTTCTGTTGTCAGATGTGCCATATACAAGAGCTTATGCTCACTAAGTGTAAAATTTCCAATGCATGCAGGAGCCATGTTAATTTAACTTTTTTCTTTAGATATTGATGCTTTTTGACGCAGTCATGCAGCTGTACACTCTCACATCTAATTGATGCGTTAAATTAGTGCGTTTACTGTTATCATCGTCAGATTAACCCTTTTTTTTCTCCATTTCATAATCATTTTCTCTACATGAAGGTTAGCCAAGTTTTCTAAGAGCTTTCTTGCGCTAATATGAAACTTGTAGGGAACGAGATGAATTCTTACAAATTTGTATGATAGAAGGTTTACATTGGATCTTCCCAATATGAAAGTGCTTATCTGTCTCACACTAGCCTTCGTTCTCGCGTTCTAGTCGTGTTTGCAGAGATAGAAGTTAAGTTGTATATCACATATACCCTAATTTAATGCTTCTGACTCCACTATGAAGCAATTGTTCTTCAAGAATTTTTCTGCTAAATTGACAGGACTACTCAGTTAACGCGAAAGTTTATTATGAGAAAGAGCATAAAAATTATCCACGGGTTATATATAAACTTTGGTTAAGAAGACTACGCATGTGTTCTCCACTCTCTGGTTTCGAATGTAAGAGCTTTTGGGTATCATTCAACAAGTATCCATAAGAGCACCCAAAAATACATTACTTTCTTAGGGTGAATGCTTTGCAGCTACGTAATGAGAAATGTAATGTCAGTGTTTGAGATGGATTTAGCATATAAAACTCATCATAAAGTGCTAAACGCATCCAACATCATTCCTAATTTGGATTTTTCTTCTGCCTACAAGCATGACATTGTTACACAACAACTTTCGAGTTACGCAAAAATAGTTAATATCTTAAGCTCAAATTTGAAGTTGTGTCTCTTCCATCAATTCAATCATGTGATCCCCTGCATAATTTGAGACAAAGTCAGCTGGGCGTGGGCGATTTTGGTTCTGTTCATAGGTTGAAAACCACTTTGAAGATGTAGGAACAGAAATTATGGATTTGATTTTCTC